ACTTGAACCACAGTGGACTACGTGGGAGTCCAGCGACATGACCGTTGCACCATCTGCTGGTCCCAGCCCCTGTTTTAGCCCTAGCCTCTGCCTGGGCCTTGGTGTGAGCCTGGGCAGGCTGTCGGGCCTCCACCTCGCAAAGCCCCGGGGGAGCTCCCGGGGAGAGGCAGGTCGGGCGCAGCAGGGAGGCCCATCCCGCCCAGGAAGCCCACGCAGGGCCTTACCTTCTCCGCAATCAGTCTCACGGTGTCCAGCTTGACGATCTTGGACGGGCTGTCCACCCGCACCATGCTCTCTGTGGGGGGCGAGGGGCTCAGGGGTGGGCCCCCCCCCCCCCCCCCCCCTCGGTGGTGCCCCCCTGCCGCTCCCCAAAGCCCAGCGGCAGCAGCTCTGATCGGCCCTTGCCCCTCCTGACCACACCCCGTCTTTCCTGAGGGGCAGCTGGTGCCGGCCATCTGGGACAAAAATCAGCTTGCTCGGAGTCCAGCCATGCAGGCCCGAGCCCTAGCTGCTGGCTCTCCCGGCTCCATCCTAACTCCAGGCCCTGGAGGCTGTGACTGTCTGCAGCCCCCTCCCACCCACACCTGTCTTCCAGATGTGAGAGGGATGCTGCTTCCTCCAGGAAGCCCTCTGAGATGGCTGGGGTTTTAGGGAAGAGATGCAGCCAGCATAGGGCTCCAGGGACTCCCTATCGAGATATAGGGCCTCCTGGCCCCCCCTTTTGGAGCCACGGCAAACCATACAATGTCACCTTAGCCGTGTGTCAGTGCCCGGCACATTGACATTAGGCCACCCCCACTGTCCATCCTCAGGACTTCTGCATCTTCCCAACTGAAGCTCTGCCCCTGTGAAACAGGCCAGCCCCTCCCTGGCCCCCGGCACCCCGGTCTGCTTCCCGTCTCTGTGGCTGTGACAGCTCGAGGGCCCTCCTGAGAGCGGGGCCATTGGGATGTGTGTCCTTTCGCATCTGGGTCCCCTCACTAAGTGTCACATCTCCTGACACTGTCACAGGGTGGAGTGTGGCCTGGCTGTACCACTCCCGCCCAGCCGCCGTGCACACTGGGTGTTGTACTCAGGGCTAAGGGGGCCGTGCCACTGTGAGCCTGGGCCTGGCCTGTCGGGCCCCGCCTGCGTCCAACCGGGAGGGGGCGCCCTACCACCTGGTGGACTCGCGGCTGTGAGGAGCCCCAGCCTGCCTTCCCCCGCGGCCCCTCGGGGTCGCCCTCCCATGCCGGCACGGAGCTTCCTGGACCCCCAGCTCACAGCTGCTATTTTACATTTTTGTTTTTGGCCTTTTTTCTTTTTAAGAGATTTTTGCTATAGGGCGCGTGCACGTGAGCTTGCCGGGGAGGCAGAGAAACGGAAAGCGAGAATCTCCCCCGGGGATGGCAGCGGGCAATCCCTTCTCCTCCATCCTCCTCCCAGGGTCTTGGGCAAGTGCGCCCATTCCCGGCAGGAGCTTCGAGCCGCTGGGTCCAGGACTTGAACCACGGTCACCCGTGGGGCCCAGCACCTTAACCACTATGCTGCCCATGGTCTTGGTCCTTTAACTGTGACGGACCAGGGGCTGGGAGGTGGGACCCTGTGGCGGGCATGGCTGCACTTCCCTTTGGCCAGGTGATGTGACAGTGACCGTGACCTGGCCGTCGGCATCACGCCTGTCCCCTCCCAGCCCCCTTCTGCTCTCAGCGCCCTGCCCACGAAACCTGTCCGAGCAATCCTGCTTTTGGAAAACGCAGCCTGCCGAGGCCCAGGGCAGAAAGCAGAGAGGAGGCAGGGCCTCCCGGGACCAATAGTTGGCGTGGAGGCGAAGACACTGGATCCCACCTGGCCGACCAGGCAGCCCGAGGCCCGGAGCCGGTGGCTTGAGAAACACGCCAGGCCCCTGTGCGTGCGTGCTCAAGATCCCAAGGCCCAGTCTGTCGGGGCAGTGCCAGGATCCGCGGAGGACGCCTGGCCTGGGCCCTGCAGGGACACTGGTGGCCGCCAGGAAGCGGCTGTAAAGGACACGCCGCCCGGGGCGTGATGGGACCTGGCCGCTCACCTGCGATCTCGAACTGGTCGGGCATCTCGGCAGTTAGTTTCTGCATGGCGATGTCAGCCACGGGGCCCAGGACCACCACCGGCCGCTTGAAGCTCGCTGGCAGACAGAAAGACGTGGCCGGGTCAGGGCCCCGCCCGGCCGCCCTGGTGCCGACTCTGCAGGCTGGAAGCCAGTGGCCGACCGCAGGTTTGCATCCCTGTAGCCTGAAGCACACTGGGCACACACGGGCCCGGGCGTGCAGCAGCCGAGGGCCGCGAGAGGGAGTGGTGCGGGGAGAGGCCACCGAGGGCTTGGTCTCTCCGCTGTCACTCGAGAAAGAAAGAATAAGCATAGGGACCAGCAGGTGGCGTGGGGGTGAGGTGTCTGGGTCCCACACGGCTGACCATGCATTGCAAATGCCAGCCCCGGGGGCTTGAAAAGCAGCCCAGAAGCGTGTGCGTGCACCAAATCCCAATGGGAGGGGAGAGAGAAGAGCGGGCCTGTGGCCCAGCCACGCCATCGGGCGCTCTCTCTCTTCTCCCTGTCTCTTGTCTCTGTCAAATGCACATGCCCTCTGGCAAACTTTTTTTTGAAAGAATTACTTAATGTATTTAACTTATTAATTTTCAGTTTGCTATAGGGCACATACACTCACCAGAGAGAGACAGAGAGAGAGGGAAAGTGAGAAAGCAAGCTGCCAGATCCGGGGCTTGAACCGAGGTCAACCTCTCTCTCTTCTCCCTGTCTCTTGTCTCTGTCAAATGCACATGCCCTCTGGCAAACTTTTTTTTGAAAGAATTACTTAATGTATTTAACTTATTAATTTTCAGTTTGCTATAGGGCACATACACTCACCAGAGAGAGACAGAGAGAGAGGGAAAGTGAGAAAGCAAGCTGCCAGATCCGGGGCTTGAACCGAGGTCAACCATGTGGGGGTCCAGGGTCTTACCCACCATGCCGCCTGCAGGCCCCCAGCAATTGATATTTAAGGGCCTTTCCGCTGCCTCCCATTTCCCCTAAAATAACAAGAGCGGAGTTCTGGGTGTCAGCCCAGTGTTGAGGGTGAGGCTGTGGAGGTGCGGGACAAGCTCCCCCACCAGCCCCG